AGACCGAGGGGTGGATCTAACCATGGACAGTATTTCTCAGGTGATCCATGACTGTGAGACGTGTCCTACCATCAAACAGGCCAAGTGGACGAAGCCCCTCTGGTATGGTGGGTGGTTGTCCAGGTACAAGTATGGGGAGGCCTGGCAGATTGACTACATCACACTGCCCCAGACACGCCAAGGCAAGTGCTACATGCTCACAATGGTAGAAGCCACCACTGGATGGTTGGAAACCTACATTGTGTCTCATGCTACAGCTTGTAGTACCATCCTGGGCCTTGAAAAGCAGGTCCTTTGGAGGCATGGTACCCCTGAGAGGATTGAGTCAGACAATGGAACTCATTTCAAGAATAGCCTTATCAACACCTGGGCTAGCGAACATGGCATTGAGTGGGTGTACCATATCCCCAACCATGCACCAGCTGCAGGCAAAGTGGAGAGGTACAATGGACTGTTAAAAACCACCTTAAAAGCATTGGGTGGGGGATCTTTCAAAAATGGGGAGCAACATTTAGCAAAGGCCACCTGGTTAGTTAACAGCCAAGGTTCCACCAATCAAGCAGGTCCTGCCCAGTCTGAGCCCCTGAATATAGTAGACGGAGATAAAGTCCCAGTGGCACATGCCAGAGGTTTGTATGGGTAATCAGTGTGGATCATGGGATTGTCTTTGCTCAGGGACCAGTTGTACATGGTGGATAATGCAGAGATGACGCAACACGATGTGTACCTCAGGGAGATCTGATTGTGGGGTGAGACTCGTGCAAATATCACTGTTTGCTGAATGTTACTGCCAGTGTCTGTACATGAAAACACACAGACGTGAGACAGAAGGAAATTTCAAAGTGTCAAAGGTTTGAGCAAGTGAAATAGAAGGAAATGTGTGTCGAAGGTAGGTGTAAGTGAAAGATAGATGTTTTTACTTGATGAAGTTTTTACATGATGTTGAAGATATGGAGATAAGGGGTGGAATGTCCTAGGGTGATGTTATAGTGTTTGTATCTCCAATAGTGTGTTCTGTTTTTGTTTGATATTATGTTCTGTGCTTTCAGAACTAACTCTGAAAGTGAAGGTTTGTTTTGCCTCGTTATCGGCCAGTTCACCTCCCCCCATCGTCTGCTGTCTAGAAGAGGCTAGTGCTGGCTGGCTTGCTTGGCTGGATTGCTTTTGCTTGCTTGCTTTGCTTGCCTCTGCTTTTGCCTTTGCTTCCTAGTAAGTTTAGCTAAGCAGTCCAATTCTTTCCCTGGACTTTTTCTTTTCCTTTCCTTTTCCTGAATACCATCCAACCTGCTCCGGACTGGGACCTGTGAAACACCGAGGAACACCGAGAGCCTGCGCTTTGTGATCTACAGCAGTCATCCCCAGTGCCAGAGATTAATCCCCAGCGCCCAAACCTGGGCGACCACTCCCAGGAAAGCCTTTCTGGATTTGTTAATCCCTTCAGAGTGGTGAAAGTTTCATTGTCATCTGGTGTTGTTATTTTTTTTTTTTTTTTTTTTTTTTTTGGTGCTGGGGAGTGCTTTGTTTGTTAAACAGGTTCTTTTCCACTTCTCTCAGAGAAAAATTTTCCTGAACCGGGTGGGTGGGGAGGGGCCGTAGGGGATTGTTTTCTGGGGGCTCCTTCCAGAGGGTTTTCCCCAAATTTGCCCTAAACTAGGACAGTAGGGTTAGAGTCATCTGGGGTAAGAAGCAAGGAGGTTTTTGCTGCAATTGCCAAGTCTTGTAGTGTTGCCTTAGGTAAGGTGTCAGCTTGGTCACAGGGTTTCTGTAAATCCCCTTCTCCTGCCAGCTCTTGGACTGCAAAATCTGGCCTATTTGCATCTTGAGCATAGGTCTCTGATAATGTTTTTAATTGTCTTTTCCAATGCCTTTCCCATAGTGAAACGGAGATTTTTAGAATTCACTTAAGTTAACAAAATGAATTAAGCATTTATATTTTAGCTTGTAAAATTATGTGTTGAATTTTAACCTTTTGCTTAAGAAATCTCTACCATGGGTCAAAGGCCAAAGGAAATGTAAATTTCTGAAGCTTCTTACATAAATAAACAGTACCCAGGAATCCAGGAAATCCAGATAAGAAAACTTGTATGTCTCCCCGATGTCAGAGATGCACAGATAAGTACCAAAAGACCAAAAGCACATGCGCAGAGTAGATGAGTTCAAAAGTTTAACCTTGAGGAAGACTATGATCTTCAGCCCAACAGACCACTAGGGAGCCCCCCCCTCCCCCCCCCGCGCGCAACCACCACAGCAAAACCAGGCATGCCCAGGAGGGCGTAGACCTCATTAGCATGGGAGGCAAGGGCAGGCGGGGACAAGAGTTGAATATGCATAGAAAAGTTGTGCAATGTACTGAATATGGAACACCATTGGGAATAAAAGTTTGGGTCAGATCACAGCTCGGTGAACATGTCTGGGAGAAATATCTCAGTTGTGACCAGCGCTGACAATACAATACAACTACCCCAAGTTGTGGAGTCTATTTATTTATTCCACGTATCGCTTTAATAACATATATCCTGCCGGGGAAAGAAGGTATAAATTTAGTTACAGAAAAGTCTTCATTAGTTTGGAGAGTGTATATTGTTGTCCCTACTGTGTCCCAAAAAGAATCTAAACAGATCGCGTTTGTGTTAGCGTCTGGAAACTGGAAGATAATCTGTGTTATAAATTTTTTCAAGTTAGTTTTTGAAAGATCGCGTTGAGAGAAAGAAAAGCTGTTAGCAGATAGGATTTCTAGTATTTGTAAATATAAATCTCTCTCGTGGAATCATTTTAATTTACTAAATTTTGATCCCATTGCCCATTGCCGTGTAGTTCTCTCCCCCCCCCCCCCAGCAGTAAAATGGAGGAAAAAAAAGAAAAAAAAAACCCAAAAAGGGACCCAAGATAAAAGCACTGAAAAAGGCTGTTTTAAACTTCCACTTCTTCAGCCGAATATGGGTCAAAAGCTGCTGGGTGAGTGGTCTGCCATCCAACTCCTTAGCATTTTGTCCCAGATGGTGGTGTTATAAATGAAAATTTGTCCAGCCAAATTAATATGAAAAAGAAAATATTTATTTTGCAATCAAATTTTATCTAGCCAGCCACAAGGAAAGAACAGAGCCGAGCCCGGGGTCAGCCCTGGGTGTGCAACAAGAAGTCAGCCTCTTTAGAGGTTTTCCTCCATGCCCACACACCTCCATTCTGGTACAAGCGGTTTTTATAGGGAAAATTCCGCCTGAGACCAAGATTTTTGCAATCAGTCTTTTCTTCAATTCAGAGTCCATATGTTAATAAGATTTTTTTTTTTTTGGTGATGAGGGAGAACAAATCAGTGTCTGGAGTTTGTTGAATCCCTTGATGAAATTTACAGGAGTTCGGGAACGCTGTATTCACCAGTATCTGCCTGAGGATTTCCATGATATCCATCTCGGGTCATTCAGGTGAACGATCAGCACCTGGGGTTTCTGCACCTCCCCAGACATGACCCATCTCTTGGGGAGCTGTACCTTCTTACTTGCAAATCAGTTTCCAATCTACACCTGGTCTCACTTGCGCCTGTGAGGGTGGGGGGGAATCCTAATACAAACATGTATACTCTGACAAATACTCAATATCACATATATCATATTAGAAATGGCGCGAATTATATCTACTACACATAACAGTGGTATGCAGGTTCGTTGGACACCTCTTCAGAAAACGTTTTCTATAATGGAGAAGTGTCGGAACCCAAAATGTCCCTCAGACATTTTTAGAGGTTCCAGGCCTTGGTCAGAAGCATTTTAGACCCTGGCAAGCAGCTGAAAACAGCTGTGATTTTGAGTTTGAACCATGGAATGAATTACCAACTTTGAGGGTGGAACAAGCAGTCACAGAATGTTAGATGGTATAGTAAAAGTAGTCACAAATTAGAGGGTAAAATTTTTTAGTGTTGTACAGGGGGGTTTTAGTACCTGTACAGGGGGGTTTTCACTTTGTACAGGGGGGTCAGGAGTTCTAAGATGGAGGAAAGTGGTCCTTATCTTATTCTTCCTCCTTCTTCTTCCTTACCTCCATGTTCTTGGTGATGTTGGCATCCACAGATTGGTTTAGAGTAGAAAAGCACATTGTAACGTAGATAGTAGGTATTGGGGAAAATCTATAAACATATAGTACGTAATATATCATATAAAAGATAGCAGCAGCTTTGGGCGGGGAGAGAGACGATGAAGACACCGGACAGTGAGGGTGTCAGGAGAGTGTGTACCTCTGCCTGGGCCGCAGACCAAAGCAGCCGCAGCGCAGGACAATCTTTTAGATAGCTAGCAATAAACTACCTTGAGACCGGACAACAAGAGGCTGTGGAGTTTTTCTTTGGAAGCACGGGTTGGAGGAGAGACTTTACCACCACACGAGAGCCCCAAATCAATCCCGGGGTTCTCACAGAGAAGTTATCTTCAGAGGGTCGTAGCCGGTTGAGGCAGTAACTATTCACAAGAAATGCTGCTCTCAGGGGTACCAAGATGCCAGTACTCCTGTTCCGGTGGCCACTTAAGGCGGCCTGGGGTCCCAGGGGTCTGTCCGGCCCCACGGGCAGCCGCTGCCGTTGGTGTCCGGATAGCGCTGGGCTGTTAGGCTCAGCCTGTCTGGGTCCCTCGGCTCAGTTCCCAGCCGCGGGCAACTTAGTGAGCACCTCTAGAGTGATTTCAGCTCTTAGGAGTTCAGCTCTTAGTGATTTCCCCATGTGCTCGCGAGTGCCTCGGCAGATGCATAGGGAGAGAGAGAGAGAAGGCTGTATGCAGTTCCACAGCGGTGTCCTTTAATTTCAGCTCCTGTGAAGGTGGCAGTGACAGCTCTTCTCTGCCGAACAGGGCAGAAATGGGGGTTTATATAGGGTACAGGGGTATTGGAAATTGTCCAATGGCCAGGGTTGAGGAGAATATGACCTATAGCCTTTCAGAGAGATAACAAGGGTTTGAATGCAGAAGAGGGGCTTCTTTGGTCCAGTCATCATGACTGGGCATTTCTTATCTTAGTTGAGTGACCGCCAGGGAGGCCTTGCAGGGCCTCTGTCTGCTACAAGTCAGGACCTATGCAAAAAAGCCAACCACTCCAGCCCCACTCCCAACTGCCATCTCAAGACAAAGCACTACCTGGAAAATTTAGAAGAAAATTATCTGCCCAGTGAGCCTCCCAATTATGACTCGTCTAAAAAATGGATTACCACCTCTAATGTCAAGAAAAAAAGAAGGGTAATTGTGGAAGGGGCTAACAGCGGGCCTATTAGCCAAAGAAGCTGAGAAGAAGCTGAGAAGCAAGAAGAAGCTGATAAGCAGCTTTCTCCAAGGCTGTCACCAAGGAGACTAAGAGAAGAGAGGAATTGAAGAAAGATAAGGAGAGAACTTTGCAGCTGGATGAAGTATTTTTAGAAAGTTAGCTGAAGCCACTGTTACTTTTCACCAATGGTATTATGTTGAATTATTGTGGCCAATAGTTAAGGTAGAAGAAGGATAAACAATTAAAAAGTGTATAAAAGGTCAGCCATCTTCGAGAAGAAACAGTTGCCATCTGAAACTGCTTACTGTCTATACTTTGTGTCGCGACCACCTCAACAGCGACATCTGTTGAACCCCGACTGCTATTGCACCCTACCCTGAGGAACAGTGTTTGGTGATCACTGAGTGGAACAACATACTCGGTTTGGACACATACGGGGTCCCAGCGACTGGCAACCGTGACCCACTGGGAAAGAGTGGGGGAGGTGGCGTTGGTGTAGCTGAGAGTGGCGTGTGGAAGCCACAGGGAGGTCCAGACCTGAATTTCTCCTGTCAAGACACCTGGAAACAGGTGAGCCACCAACCAGTAATAATGGGAAATTATTTATCTAAAGAGGAAGAGCCTGTTTTGGCTACATGGAAAGTTTTGTTATAAATGAGGGAATTACTATTCAAGACTATGCCCTTCGTAGTATGTTGCTGTAGGCTAAATCACAAGATTTTTGGCACCAATCCTGGCACGGCATTTAGTGTTAAAGCATGGAAAAAAGTCGGGGATAGACTGTGGGAAGTCATCTGTGCAGGAGATAAAACTGTTGTTGACTTAGCTGTTCCTTGGGGATCACTTTTTGAGGCATTAAAGGCATGAAAAACAGAGCAAGAACAAGCAGAGCGTGGCGCAAACAAAAATTCGGGCTTGATAACAGAGACTGACAGGGAGGATGAGTTAGATGGGGCCTCTGATGGGGAACTTGTTGAATCCATCTTTGAAGAAGGTGCAGGTGCTATGGAAGTTACCAGGCAGGCTACCAAAGCTTCCGGGAAAGTTGCCAGGGCTTCTAGGCCGGCTGCCAAAGCTTCTGGGAATGCTGCCAGAGCTTCTGGGTTGTATGCCAAAGCTTCTGGGAAAGCTGCCAAGGCTTCTGGGAAAGCTGCCAAAGGTCCTGGGAAAGCTGCCAAGGCTTCTGGGAAAGCTGCCAAAGCTTCTGGGTCGACTGCCAGACTCTCTCCTTATCAGACTCCTAAACCTCTTTATCTCACACCTGCACAGCAGCTCGCTATTGTGCCTGTGTACACTACACCGCTGCAGCAGTTAGCTGAAATGTCTTTAGCAGAGAGAAACCCAGCCATCTGCCCCCCCCCATTTCCACCATCTCCTCTAGCCCAGCTGTCTGCACCTCCGCTCCCCTCTGAACTGCATGAGCAATCTGCAAGGTCGTATCCTCTGTTGCCTGACACTGATAGTGAATCTAGTGAAGAGTCACCTGTGGTAATACCTGAGCTGGGGCAAAAAACTGTTGACGTTCCATCTTCTGATATATCTAGCTCTACTGCCTCGTTGGCTTTGCCTCTGTGTCAAGTAACTGTGCTTCCTCGACAGCCTCAGCAGTTCTGGGACCTTGTTAGGAAGAAGGCAGCTGAAGAAAAGAATTGGGACATAATAGAAAGATTAGGTGCCCCGAAACTACCTCAGGAGCAGAGTGCTAATGCAAATGTTACTTCTGATAATGCTATGGCTTTTCCAGTCTTTAAAGCAGTTCCTGAAACAGGGCAGAATGATAGTCATCATGTCTTTGCCTGAAGGGTTGTGCAAGATCTTCAATCGAAAGTTGGCTCAGTTTGGTATTAATTCCTCTGAGGTAATGCAACTGATACGTGTAATTAATGTAGACATGCTTGCACCTTATGATATCATGCATCTTGCTACAATTTTATTACAACCTGTGCAGTATGGTGTGTTTCAAGAAACCTGGAGACGAGGGGCTGAACGCACAGCTTTAACAAATATGCAGCTGCCTCAACAGGACCCTCGTCATGCTGTGGGTGTTGATGCCTTATTGGGTATTGGGCCTTTTGCCAACCCAGATTTACAGGCAAGGTGGGATCCTTCAATTTTGACACAGGCTCAGCAGATAGGCATGGCTGCTTTAATTAATACCATGGAAATGGCAGCTCCAAAGCAGAGATACATTACTATACAACAAGGACTGAGAGAACCATTTTTGCAATTTGTGGAAAAGCTCGCTGCAGCTCTTGAAAAACAGGTAGAGGATGAACCTTTGCGACATAGATTGTGTATAAAATTGGCCAAAGAAAATGCAAACCCAGATTGCAGAAAGATTATTGATACCTTACCTGGGGAACCCACATTGCCTGAAATGGTTACTGCTTGCTCAAAGGTTGGTTCAGTAGAGCATAAAATGGCAGCTCTTGCTGAAGTTCTAAGGCCTCCATCAAAATGCTATAATTGTGGGCGGCAAGGGCATGTACGGGCACAGTGCAATGCCCAGAAAATAACATCTAAGCCAAATGCAAGCAGCAATGTTACATGCAATCGTTGTGCAAAAGTTGGCCACTATGCTAAACAATGTAGGAGTAAATATCACGCTAATGGTCAGCTGCTGCAGGGAAACGGGAAGAAGAATGCGAAGGGGCGCGTGGGGACACAAATACCCCGACAACAACAACAACAATTGCGGGCCTTCCCGGCACCTCAAAGCTACCCATTTGCGAACAGTACTCAGCAGCAACAAGTGGGTCCACAGGGATTGATATACCCACCGTGGACACAGTAACTATTTTGACAAAAGAAATATGCAAAGTGCCCCTTGATGCTTATGGCCCAATAGGACAGGGATTGAGTGCATTTTTGATGGGGAGATCAAGTACTACACTTAAAGGTATTCATGTGCATTTAGGACTTATTGACGCTGATTATTTAGGACAGATTCATGCTATGGTATCAATTGATGACCCCCCTGTCACTATTCAGAAAGGAACTTTTATTGCTCAACTCGTACCTTTTGGGAGTTCTGTTCCCAATACAGTGGACCGAAGTCGAGGTACAGGAAGTTTTGGATCAACAGGACTACCTCAAGTGTTCTGGACTGAGAAAGTGACGGAAAACAGTCCAGAAAAGACATGCATCCTCACAGACAGTGGATACCACCCAGGAACCATATCGGTTACAGGTTTGATTGACACCGGAGAAGATGTTACAATACTTTCGCAACTTTGTTGGCCTCAGTTGTGGCTTCTCACTCATGCAAGTTTTGGACTCATGGGGTTGGGTGGTGCTACAACAGGTGGCTTGTCAGCCATTGTAATTAATGTGAAACATCTCGATGGCCAACAAGCTAACATCAGACCCTATGTTGCCGACTCTCCTCAAAGTTTGTGAGGATGAGATTGCTTATCTCAATGGGGTGTCAAAATTACTACAGATTTTTAATAGGGGCCACTGTGATGCAGAGCGCTGAACATCCAGTTGTAGCCTTGACATGGTTGACAGATAGACCTGTCAGGGTTGATCAGTGGTTCCTTACTATTGAAAAGCTCACTGCCCTGCAAGAATTAGTCATGGAACAATTGCAAGTGGGACATATTGAAGAATCTTTTAGCCCCTGGAATACCCCTGTTTTTGTAATAAAAAAGAAATTGGGAAAATGGAGACTTTTACATGATGTACGACAGATAAATGCTGTAATGGTAACAATGGGAGCTTTACAACCAGGCCTCCCTACACCTGCAATGATTCCACAGGATTGGCAAATAGTTGTCATTGATCTGAAAGATTGTTTCTTTACTATTCCATTGGCTGAGCAAGATAAATAAAAATTTGCATTTACTGTGCCTTCCACAAATCATGTTCAACCCAATAAAAGATATCAGTGGGGAGTACTCCCCAAAGGCATGAAAAACTCACCAACTATTGGTCAATGGTTCATGGCACAGGCCTTGTCAAAAGTGCAAAAGCAACTTAATAACTGTTACTGTTATCACTATATGGATGATATCTTGTTGGAATCTAACAACAAACAACAGTTATCAGCTCTTAAAGAATGTGCTGTGACAAATTTGAAAGCCTTTGGTCTGATTATTGCCCCAGAGAAAGTGCAGGAGCACATGCCTTGGAAATATCTAGGTATGTTGGTGACTAAAACTCAAGTTATGCCTCAACCTGTAAAATTGGATATTGATGTTAAAACTGTTACTGATGTACAGAAATTGGTTGGTGCAATAGGTTGGATTCGATCATATTTAGGCATAACTAATTATCAGATGCAAGCATTGTTTGATTTGCTATCGGGGATCACTTCCTCTACTGATGAGAGGCAATTGACTCCAGCAGCAAAGAGGACTTCAGAAGAAATTGAATTAGCTTTAGCACACAAATTTGTTAACAGAATAGATACTTCTGTTGTTGTCCAAATGTTTATTTTGAAGGACCATGAAATACCATGCGGAATACTGTGTCAATGGAATGATAATTGGGAAGACCAACTGCATATTTTGGAATGGATATTTTTATCTTTCAGATCTCAAAAAACAGCTCCAGGACTTTATGAGCTTTTTGCAGATATTATCATCAAAGGTCGCAGGCATTGTCATGAGATTCTGGGATACGACCCTGTGACCATTGTGATACCTGTACAACAGTGGTATTTTGAATGGTGCTTTCAAAATAATCATGAGTTGCAATCTGCCTTATCTGGTTTTACAGGCCAAATAAAATACCATTTTCCTTCTCATCCTGTTTTAAAACTGACCAAGGAGATTCCTTTTGAAGGGAAGCAAATTTGTTCTCCTGTTCCAGTGGATGGTATAACAGTTTTTACAGATGGATCAGGGAGAACTGGAAAAGCAGCTGTGGCCTGGAAAAAGGATGATCACTGGGAATATGAGACAATGATTCAACAAGGATCTCCTCAATTGGTTGAACTTTGTGCTGTTCTTTTGGCTTTTTCTTTATTTTCTGATTCTGTAAATGTAGTTACTGATTCCATTTATGTTGCTAATTTAGTTAAACATCTAGATCAAGCAGTGTTGTACAATGTCCAAGAGAAACCCTTATTTACCATGTTAGTGAAGTTATGGACAGTTATTTGTGCTCTAAAACATCCTTATTTTATTATGCATATTGGTAGCCACACATCATTACCTGGATTTTTTGATGAAGGTAATGCTTATGTAGATTCCCTAGTAGCTGCTGCTGCAATCAAAACTATACCTAATGTGTTGCAGCAGGCAGTTTTTTCTCATCAATTTTTTCATCAGAGTGCTCAAGCTTTACAGCAGCAATTTAAATTGTCTCCTGGTGAAGCAAAATCAAGCCTTTCTTCTTGCCCTGACTGTCACATGACTCATGTTTCTCAGTATTATGGTACAAACCCTAGGGGTTTATCTGTTTTAGAGGAATGGCAAACAGATGTGACAAAAATGCCGGAATTTGGTCGCTTTAAGCCTGTTCATGTTACAGTAGATACCTTTTCTCATGCCATGGTTGCTTCAGCACTCACAGCAGAAAAATCTCGTGATGCTATTCGTCATTTTTATCATGCCTTTTCTATCCTAGGTGTTCCATGTCATATAAAAACAGATAATGGCCCAGCATACGCTTCACATAAAACACAAGCATTCTTTCGTGCTTGGGGCATTGAGCATTCAACAGGTATTCCACATGTTCCCACGGGCCAAGCGATCATCGAAAGGGCTCATGGTCTTCTTAAACGTCAGGTTCAAAAACAAAAAGGGGGAATGCAACAGGTGTCACTTCAAGTGAGATTAGATAAAGCTGTTTATGTGTTAAATTTTTTGCGTCCCCTACCTGACTCACAGTTATCTCCAATTTTTTACCATTTTTCCTCTTTGAATTCTAAGCAACCAGATTTTCGTAGAAATGTTAAGGTATGGGTTAAGGATCTAATTACTGGTATGTGGTCTGATCCAGTGGAACTAATAACCTGGGGGAAAGGTTATGGTTGAGTTTTGACAGATAATGGTCCTCGATGGGTTCCTGCTTGCTGTATTAAACCTTATCTGGAACGTGCAGGAAGGAATAGAATGGATGGTTCCACAGCCGAAGCAGAACATACGGATGACACTGGTTAAGGCCATATATCAGGACATGTATCTTATCACTCTTTGTGTGTTCTCATAGTAACTAGAGGCTGTGGGTTTGATTTGCTCTTATTAGGATAACACTTTAGATGGTTATAGTTTAGAGATATAATTTGATAGAGTAGAGTAGTTAAACTTATAAGCACTTATAGATGGATGAAGGACAGGAATTATTGTGTAAAGAATAGGAATGTTAATTTTGTTGAAGGTTGTAATTGTTGTTTGTGTTTCCCCTGTCTGCTTGAATTTTTGCAAAGAGCCCTGCAAAAATCCATAGCAGCTGTATTTACAGGTCAAAAACAAAAAGGGGGAATTGTGGAAGGGGCTAACAGCGGGCCTGTTAGCCAAAGAAGCTGAGAAGAAGCTGAGAAGCAAGAAGAAGATGATAAGCAGCTTTCTCCAAGGCTGTCACCAAGGAGACTAAGAGAAGAGAGGAATTGAAGAAAGATAAGGAGAGAACTTTGCAGCTGGATGAAGTATTTTTAGAAAGTTACTCGAAGTCACTGTTATTTTTCACCAATGGTGTTATGTTGAATTATTGTGGCCAATAGTTAAGGTAGAAGAAGGATAAACAATTAAAAAGTGTATAAAAGGTCAGCCATCTTCGAGAAGAAACAGTTGCCATCTGAAACTGCTTATTGTCTATACTTTGTGTCGCGACCGCCTCAACAGCGACAGGTAAGTGTAGTGGATGATTCCCTTCTGAGGGGGACTGAGGGCGCCGTATGTCAACCAGACCCATCCCACAGAGAGGTCTGCTGCCTCCCTGTGGCCCAGGTGCAAAACATCACTGAAGGACTTCCTAGGCTGATTCGGTCCTCTGATTATTACCCACTGCTGATACTCCAGGCTGGCAGTGATGAAATTGATAAGAGGAGTGTCAAGGCAATTAAAAGGGAGTTTAGGGCACTGGGTCAATTGGACAGGTGTACAGGTAATGTTTTGTTCAGTCCCTTTGGTGGCAGAGAAAAATGATGAAAGGGATAGGAGAACTCACATCATTAACAAATGATTCAAGGGTTGGTGTCATCGGCAAAATTTTGGATTCTTTGATCATGGAGCAACCTTTATGGCACCTGCTCTACTGAATCAGATGGGATACATCTCTCTGTTAACAGTAGAAGGTTTTTAGCTCATGAACTGGTAGACCTTATTGAGAGGGCTTTAAACTAGGTCTGAAGGGGGAAGGAGATACAGCTGGGCTGTCTGGATGCAGGCCCAAGGATGGTAAGACTGTGTTAGGGGAGAAATCAATAGCCCAGCTGAGGTGCATGTATACCAATGCACGCAGCATGGGTAACAAACAAGAAGAGCTGGAGGCCATGGTGCAGCAGTAGAGCTATGATGTAGTCACCATCACAGAAATGTGGTGGGATGACTAGCATAGTTGGAGCACTGCACTGGATGGCTACAAGCTCTTCAGAAGAGACAGGAAAGGGAGAAGAGATGGAGGGGTGACCCTTTATATTAAGGAGGCTTTGGATGTCATAGGTATTGAAACTAATGATGATGAAGTTGAGTCCTTATGGGTAAAAATTAAGGGGACGGCCAACAAGGCTGGCATCCTACTGGGAGTCTGTTATCGGCCACCCAACAAGGATGAAGAGGTGGGCAACTTATTCTATAAGCAACTAAACAATGTTTCAGGATTATCAGCCCTTGTTCTTGTAGGTGACTTCAACCTGCCAGACAACTGCTGGGAACTTAATACAGCAGAAAAACAGCATTCTAGAACGTTTTTAGAGTGTGTGGAGGATAATTTTTTGTCACAACTGGTGGGCAAGCCCACAAGTGGAGGGACTATGTTAGACGTGTTGTTCACAAATAGAGATGGACTGGTGGGTGATGTGGTGGTTGGAGGCCGCTTGGGGCACAGTGATCATGAAATTATAGAATTCTTGATAATTGGTGAAATAAGAAGGAATATCAATAAGATCTCGACACTGGACTTCCGGAGGGCAGACTTTGGCCTATTTAGGAGACTTATTCAGAGAGTTCCTTGGGAAAGAGCCCTTGAAAACAAAGGAGTCCAGGAGAGATGGGTGTGTCTGGATGAGAAATGAGGTTTTGAAGGAACTTAGAAAAAAAAAAAAAGTATAATCTCTTTAAGGAGGGACTGATTTCTCAGGAAGTATTTAAGGGAGCTGCTAGAGCATGTAGGAAAAAAATTAGGGAGGCCAAAGCTCAGTTTTAACTTAACTTGGCAACTTCTGTTAAAAATAATAAAAAAAGTTTTTGCAAATATATTAATGGGAAAAGGAAGCATATAACCAACCTCGGTTCCTAATTGGATGAGGCAGGCAACCTATTAACTAAAGATGAGGAAAAGGCGGAAATGCTTAATGCCTTCTTTGCTTCAGTCTTTAGTGGTAAGACAGCTTGTCCTCAAGACAACTGTCCTCAGGGGTTGATAGGTGGTGCCAGGGAGCAGAATGGTCCTCTTGTTATCCAAGAGGAGGCAGTTAGAGAACTACTGTGACACTTGGATATTTATAAATCAATGGGACCAGATGGGATCTACCCTAGGGTGATGAGGGAGCTGGCAGATGTGCTTGCGAAGCCGCTCTCCATCATTTATCAGGAGTCATGGCTCACTGGTGAGGTCCCAGATGATTGGAAACTGGCCAATGTGACACCCATTTACAAAAAAGAAAAAAAAAGGTAGGCAGGAGGATCCTGGTAATTACAGGCCAGTTAGCCTGACCTCAGCACCAGGTAAGATAATGGAACAGTTCATACTTAGTGCTATCACACAGCACTTACAAGATGGCCAGGGTATCAGACCCAGTCATCATGGGTTTACAAAGTCATGTCTGACTAACTTGGTCTCCTATGACCAGGTGACTTGTCTGGTAGATGCAGGAAAGGCTGTGGATGTTGTCTATTTAGACATCAGCAAGGCCTCTGATACTGTTTCCCATAGCATACTCCTGGAAAAGCTGGCAGCCCATGGCTTGGACAGGAGCACCCTTCGCTGGGTTAGGAACTGGCTGGATGGCTGGGCCCAGAAAGTGGTGGTGAACAGTGCTGTTGAGAAGGGTAGATAAATATGATTAAGAACCACAATAGTACAGCCAGGACGAATATAACGCCCCCTACTGGCTGGACAATAACCCTCACTTACAGAGGAATCCAAAAGTCAAATGGACTGTTTGATCTCACCCCCCAGAATGTATGGTTCACCCCACACCTGTAACCCTCCCCTGAAACATCAAGTGTCTGTGACCCCATTGGCCCAAGTCCTGTTCCAGCCCACCTAGAAGCCCCCCTTGATAAGGGGTCTCCGGGGGGCCGGACACTCTCTTGGATCTTCCCCTCTCCTCCTGGAGCTTCCTCCTGGAGTCCCTGCTCCCCCCTTTGTCTCTCCCCTCCCCCATCACCTCCGGCCCAGCCACGTGCTGTTACACAGCACGAGGCAGGGCCACGATCCATCCCAAATAAACCTCATCCCCCAAGAGCAACCAACAGAGATCTCTCGCATATATTCACCCCAAATCCGTCCGTGGAACCCATCGAACGTCTTTACAGACTGGTGCCCAACTTCGGATACGACTCCACGGTGACCTGCAACCACACCCATCTGGATGCCTTTCCAGCTTTTCTACCTGTAGGACACTTTTCCGTGGACAGTAACTAAATGACCAGGTATTTCCTCCCCATTGGTGTCATGAGCACGGCATTTGGTTGCTAGGCAGCTCCGAAGCCGGAGCTCTTTAAAAATTGCTGAGGCAATCCTCGAGCACCGCGACTCATTACCAAGTAGCGGGTCTTCGGAGCCCTTGGAGGATTCCTGCCCGTTATATCTCCGAGCACAGGCGACCACCGCGATTCGGCGGCGACCTAAAGCTCTGCAAGGAGACTTGCCGTGGCACGCTGCCACGTGCACAGAGCACAGGCGAGCACTGCTTTGCACTGAAGCTCTGAGGGGGGTTTGGAGCTCCCGAGCACCGGAAGCCGTCCCTGAGTGACGCCCAACACCGTAGCTCTGAGGAGACCCCCGCAGAGGATCCTCAGCACCGACTGGAGTGTACGTCGGAACCCGACAGAGGACCCCACTTGTGCGACACCGAGGTGAGCCACACTGGTTTAAAAATGGGACAATCCCACTCTGCATCTGATCAAGCTCTCTATAAGCAACTTAACCACCTTTTACGTAGCCATAACAGTACCTTGTCTAAGAAAGAGCTAAGAAACCTCCTAGAATGGATCTTACTTAATTTTCCAAATGCCAAGCGATCTGCTGTGTTTTGTAGAGACTTTTGGGAGTCTGTGGGAAATAGACTTTTTATTGATATTTTACGGCGCGATCCTGCTGCTTGCGGACTACTTCCGGCGTACATGACGTTGGCAGAGCTCTGCGCTTCTCCAAAGCCACTGAGAGCTACCAAACCCCTCCCTGCCGCGGCCCCACAGTCCCCGCCGAGCCGCCTGGAAAGCCCCCGCCCCGGCGACCACGCCGGCCATGCCGTGGCTCCCGAGTGGGCGGGCCCCACTCCCATGGCCACGCCCTCTCCCCCCGCGCAGACCAGACCCTGCCCTTGCTTCCACCTCTTCCTTCCAGAGCCGCTCGGAGCCCCTCCCTGCCGCAGCCACACCTCTTCCCTCCTGAGCCGCCCGGAACCCCTCCCTGCTGCGGCCACGCCTTCTCCCCCCCGAGCCGCCCGGAACCCGCCCTTGCGGCCACCTCTTCCCCCCCGAACCACTCTGTGGGCCCCGCCTCCCCCCCGCCCGGCTCCTCAGCGGTGCCTGTACCGGCTATGGTGGCTACTATAGCCGAAATTCTACAAAATGAAACAACAGCTATTTTGCAGGCACAGTCTCAAACATCAGCTGCTATCTTGCAGGCGCTGCACGCGCTCGCCGCCGCAGCCGCCCCGCCTCCGCCTGACCCCCCCCAGCCCCCACCCCAGCCGTGTGAAGCCGTTTCCGGACCCAGCGACGTGCCCCTGCCGGCCCCCCTGCTCGTCGACCCCCGCCGGCCCCCTCAGTGGCCGCAAACCCGATGTCCCCACACCCCCCCCACCGCTGTGCCACAGCCCACGGCTCTGGCTGAACCCTGGCCACTCCCGCCGGCAGCACTTCCTGGTTTGCCGACCCTATCACCATATCCCTATGCATCCCTCCCTCCGCCGGATCTACAGCCTGCCGCTGCACCCAAAGCCACAGCTACAGAGTATCCTTCCGCAAACGCCGGTTCTTCACAAGTGCTGCTGCCGACGAGCTCCACTCCTCCAACTCTTCTGCCTCAACTAACAGCAAGCAGCACACCGCTACAGCTTGTCACAGAAACCATGCAGGGAGAGGGAGAAGGAAACAATGTGACAGCAGCTTCGACAAACAAAGGACAGAGAACTATTTTACCCCTGCAAACCCTAACCCTTCTATCCCAATCTCACCAAATTCTCAGCAAAGCGCTAACAATCTTCAACTGACAAACTGCCTTGAAATCAATTATGATAGTCGCAAAGAGGACAGTCTGCATCCCCAAGCCATGCCAGTGGTATTCAGCCAGGAAACAGCCTTCCCATCTCAGGAGGTGAAAGAAGTCCTGAAAGCAGTCAAGGACAGTGGTATCTCCTTTTCCTATTTTAAACCACTGTTAAAAGGTACCATAGAAAAAACACACCAAACCTTAAAACGCATTTTAAATCGAAAGTAAGGGGGAGTAGAGCAGGCTGCACCTCAAAGGAAATTGAAAAAGGCTCTGTATGTTCACAATTTTCTAAGTAGCTCTGCAGGAGATCCTCGCTCCCCCATTTATAGACATTTCCTGAACACCAAAAAAGTAAAAATAAAGGGGCACCCCCCAGCTTTACTCAAAATCTTAGATTCAGGACATATACAAGGTCCACACAGTCTTCTAACATGGGAGAAAGGGTTTTGCTTGTGTTTCCACAGGTCAAGGACTCAAGTTGGTCCCAGGAAAGAATGTGAAACCCTACCATGCACCAAAATCCGCTGGTACCCCCAGCCCAGGCAGTACTTCTGCAAGTACAAGCCAAGAAGCCAGCACCCAGACCTGAACTGGGCTGCGTCATCAAGAGAAAATGACCTGCCAGAAACAGCTTGAGAGAAAAATGGACTTTTATCGTTTATATGCATGCATGTTGCTTTTGTTCTTCTGTTTCAGTTTTTGTATTGAAGTTTTACTTGTAATTCAACCAAAGACAAATGCCTGGGTAGCTTTAGCCAAGCCTGCAAGCTCTAAGACCACCTGTATATATAACACAAACCCTAACAAACCTTTTTCAACCCGCTTAATTATAAGACCTTTCCCAGACAATTCTGACAATGCCTCCTCTACTATAATCAGTGATGTGATAAAAATTAGCCCATCTCAGCTACACAGTTTACTTAATGGTTTGAGCCTTGCACCTTAGCTAAAGGAACTCTGTAAAATAAGCTTGACTTTTCCAGTAGTAATAAGTATAGTTTTAGTAGCAATACCCTGTACACCTCCAAGTGTGCAGAAAATAGTTGTTAAGTCAATATTTAGTATTTCAAATGGTTCAGTGAAAACAGGGGAGATGTTGGAAGGGTAGATAAATATGATTAAGAACCACAATAGTACAGCCAGGACGAATATAACGCCCCCTACTGGCTGGACAATAACCCTAATTTACAATGGGATCCAAAAGTCAAATGGACTGTTTGATCTCACCTCCCAGAATGTATGGTTCACCCCACACCTGTAACCCTCCCCTGAAACATCAAGTGTCTGTGACCTCATTGGCCCAAGTCCTGTTCCAGCCCACCTTGAAGCCCCCCTTGATAGGGGGTCTCCGGGGGGCCAGAGGCTCTCTTGGATCTTCCCCTCTCCTCCTGGAGCTTCCTCCTGGAGTCCCTGCTCCCCTCTTTGTCTCTCCCCTCCCCCATCACCTCCGGCCCAGCCACGTGCTGTTACACAGCACGAGGCAGGGCCACGATCCATCCCGAATAAACCTCATCCCCCAAGAGCAACCAACAGAGATCTCTCGCATATATTCACCCCAATTCCGTCCGTGGAACCCATCAAACGTCTTTACACAGTGCCGCATCCAGCTGGGGACAGTCACCTGTGGTGTCCCTCAGGGGTCTGTGCTGGGACCAGTTCCATTTAATATTTTTATAGATGACACGGATGAGGGCATTGAATCCTTCATTAGTAAATTTGCAGACGATACTAAGCTGGGAGCTTGTGTTGATCTGTTGGAAGGAAGGAGGACTCTGCGGAGAGATTTGGATCGATTGTATGGATGGGCAGAGTTTAACAAGATTATTATTATTATTAAAGTCTAAGTGCCGAGTTCTGCATTTTGGACACAAAAATCCCCTACAGCGTTACAGGTTGGGGACAGTATGGCTGGACAGTGTCCAGGCAGAAAGAGACCTGGGGGTGCTGGTCAACAGCCGGTTGGATATGAGCCAGCAATGTGCCTCGGTGGCCAAGAAGGCCAATGGCATCCTGGCCTGCATTAGGAATTGTGTGACCAGCAGGAGTAAGGAGGTTATTCTTCCCCTATACTCGGCACTGGTGAGACCACATCTTGAGTACTGTGTTGAGTTCAGGGCCCCTCAGTTCAGGAAGGACATAAAGATGCTTGAGCGCGTCCAGAGGAGGGCAACGAGGCTGGTGAGGGGCTTGGAACACAAGCCCTACGAGGAACGTTTGAGGGAGTTGGGGTTGTTTAGCCTGGAGAAGAGGAGGCTTAGAGGTGACCTTATTGCTCTCTACAACTTCTTGAAGGGAGGTTGTAGACAGGTGGGGGTCAATCTCTTCCACCGGGCAGCAACTGGCAGAACAAGAGGACACAGTCTCAAGCTACGTCAGGGAAGGTTTAGGTTGGATATTAGGAAAAAAAATTTCGCTGAAAGTATAATAAAATACTGGAATTGTCTTTCTTGGGAGGGGGTGGAATCACCATCTCTGGATATGTTGAAAAAAAGACTGGACTTGGCACTTGGTGCTATAGTCTAGTTGTGGTGTTAGTGCTTAGGTTGGACTTGATGATCTTAGAGGTCTCTTCCAACCTCATAAAAAAAAAAAAAAAAAAAAAAAAAAACCAAATGCCAGAAATTAAGGTTAGGCAGGTCCCCCAAAATTGCCACCACTGTAGTCTCTTACTGTGAGGGGGAACCAATGCCCCTATGCTCCTTTAACTATAAAGTGGTGGTCTGGGGAGATTTTACATGTGTCAGCTCTGGTGAATACTGTAGTTGAGGTAACTGTATTACATAATGATATCACTAATAAAGAAGCCACATCACAGACTTGTGGATTTAGGGGAATTTAACCCCAGTCCTCTGAGCTAAGCTTACCTTAATAGGAAAAGCCACTCCATTTACCACAGCTGTGTTAACTGCCCCAGTTTAAAAAAAAAAAATCTATTGTGGGCATTAATATGTTGGCAGGAAAAACAGTTGAAACTTTAAACAGTCGGCTCTGCTTCAGGACTTCTCAACTGGAATTTATGAGTCTTGGGCAGATTGGCAAAGTGGGATCCTGTTGTGCTGGCTGTGCCTGACAAGGTACTAACTGCAAAACAATGTCATATTCCTGGGGAAAAGAGAAAATTACTCCGACCTTTCAGGCCCTTCAACAAGTGGGAATTCTTAAGGAAACCATGACTGCTTTTAACAATCCTATTTGGCAGCCTGTTAAAAAAAATAGATGGCACTTGGAGAATGACTGTAGATTATAGAGAATTGAATAAAGTCACCCACCCACCCCCCCCACCCCCCGCTTGCAGTTACACTGCTAGACATGGTTACTCTCATAGAAAAAAAAAAAAAAAAAAAGCAAAAATTTTACAACCCTGGAAGGCGGTAATAGATCTTGCTAATGCTTTCTGTTCCATTCCCATTACATATTTATAACCATGTGTATGTAATTGTACTGTTTGTACTCAGGTACATTTAAGGACATTATATAGGCCATGGGCAAAGATAAAATAGGGTCAGTGTGCCTTGAATATGTGGCAGGTCAATTACATTGGCCCCCTGCCCTTGTCAAGAAGGTGGTGATATGTATTCTCTGCTGTGGATACAGCATCAGGACAATTTTTTTGCTAAACCAACTAAATATGTTAGTCAACATAACAGAATTAAAGCACTAAAACAGCTCATTCTTCAGTATGGACCTCCTCATCAAATGCAAAGATTGATTGAAAGAACAAATGGAACGTTGAGGAAATAATTTTTAAAAGCTAACCAGTACTAAAACTTTACAGCAGTGGTGTTCACATCTTACTAAAGCAAGCTTTCACACAGAATCACACAGAATCACAAGGTTCGAAGAGACCTTCAAGATAATCAAGTCCAACCCCTTCCCTAACACCACAACTAAACCATGGCACCGAGTGCCACATCCAGTCTTTTTTAAACACATCCAGGGATGGTGACTCCACCACCTCCCCGGGCAGACCATTATGGGTATTCTCAGTTCAGTCAGAGAGAAAGGAGAGTTTCTAACCAGGCTAGAGCCTGGGAAAGAGTTGCAAAGGAATGTAAATAATTGTCTATCTCTCTTGTTGTTCACATTGTTTATAGATATGTTCTGCCACTGTGCGTCATTCACTGCACACAAATGGTGTGAGATGCTTTTGCTTTAAGACCAATGAAATTAGTCTGCACGATGCTCTCTAAAAAAGAGAGATGTATTTGAAATAAAGTCAGTTAGTGTTCACATCATCTAGCCTTCTGAACTGGAGTTCTTTCGTTCCCATCCTGCCTCAACGGCAACAGACCATTCCAGTACTTTATCACTCTTTTAGTGAAAAACTTTTTCCTACTATCTAACCTATATTTCCTTTGATGCAGCTTGAGACTGTGACCTCTTGTTCTGTCAGTAGCTGCCTGGAGAAAGAGACCAACCCCCACCTGACTACAACTAACCTTCAGGAAATTGTAGAGTGATATGGTTGCCTCTGAATCTCCTTTACTCCAGGCTAAACACCCCCAGCTCCCTCAGCCGTTCCTTACAGGGCTTGTGCTCCAAGCCCCTCACCAGCCTCGTTGCGCTCCTCTGGATGCACTCAAGAAACTCAATGTCGTTACTAAACTGAGGAGCCCAAAACTGGACACAGCACTCAAGGTGTGGCCTCACCAGTGCCGAGTACAGGGGGAGAATGCCCTCCCTGCTCCTGCTGGCCACACTATTCCTGATACAGGCCAGGATGACATTGGCCTTCTTGGCCACCAGGGCACACTGCTGGCTCATGTTCAGCTGGCTGTCGACCAGTACTCCCAGGTGTGGGAATCCAGGGCTTCCCTCTGTCTGCCCTGGAGGGTCTGGGACCCTGGCAGGGGGTCAGAAATCCCCCTGTACAGAGCCCCAAGAGACACTGTCTCTGATCTCTGTCCATGGAAAAGAGTTTTCAATCTTACAGGATGAATTACAAGCTCTGAGTGTTTGATATGAGTAATAATTAAGTGTGGCATGGGTGCAAAAGTAACATTTTAGGTTTCTAGATTAGGGATTCAAAGGGGACAAGATGGAGGAAATTGGGTGTGTCTTGTCCTTTTTCTCCTTCTTTATGACCTCCATGTTTCACTGTAGTGTTGGCATTTTTCTATTGGTTTAGGCTGGGGACACACTGTTCAACGTAGATGATAGATATTGGCACATTATTGTAAATATAGCACACGTAGTTTCTGGTATATAATGTTTGTAACATCCCACTGGGGGCAGAGCCCCGCACGCTGTCCTGCAGGACAGACCTGCGGCAAGGCAGCAGAACATGTTATAGATAAGCAAGAATAAACAACCTTGAAAACAGCACAGACGAATTATGGGTTCTTCTTTGGCAATGGGGCAGAAAGACAGAGACTTTCTACAATCTTGGAATCATCAATACCCACAGATTCCGACACCCAGGTCCCTTTCTATCTGGGCACTTTCCAGCCACACTGTCCCCAGCCTATAACACTGCAGGGGATTATTGTGGCCAAAATGCAGGACTCGGCACTTGTACTTATTAAACTTCATCTTGTTAGATTCTGCCCATCCATCCAACCATTCCAGGTCTCTCTGCAGAGTCCTCCTACCTTCCAACAGATTGATACATGCTCCCAGCTTAGTGTCGTCTGCAAATTTACTAATGAAAGACTCAGTGAC